CGTCGAACTCATTTTGTTTATTCGGATTTCTGCTTCTGTAACGCCTGTAAAAATATAAAGACACATGTGTAATTCATTATCTGGATTCCATGAAAAGTGGTCTTCACAAGTACGGCTTTGGTAATGCGATTCACTTCTTTCACAATAAAATACACATAAAACATCCCGCTTCCTTGAATACGAAGAACAGTCATAAAATCGAGCTTCAGTTAGCGGCAGAGATTTATAGCAATGGCCTGACATAAACTTTCCGAATGCTTGACTGACCGCTTTATGGAAAGACACTTTGGTGTTAGTTCAAAATCAACTTTCCCCTCTTATTTTAACATAGAGACCCAACGTCTATTATATTGGTACTGATCTGTTAGAAACCTGTCTAAAGCCCTGGAATATATACGGAGGGTAGATTCAATTAAACGGTAATTCTTAATATGTATGCTGTACGAACTCATAGTGCAAGTATTTAAATCGGTCTTTATACTGGTTTCTACTGTTGTCAAAAATATACCAGATGCCTCAACAGATGTTCACCCAATAGAAAACGTGTGATCCACCATTAAAAGAGATTAATATGAGAACGGAAAACATTATTCAACCAAAAAAGGTCTAAGGGAAACCAAAAATAAAATTCTGCAAATAAAGTTAAAATCGAAACAGTAGAAAAATTAACAAAATAAATACCGTATAAACTCGTGCAACGCGCGATGTTTATTTTAAATACTGCTGTACGTTTTGACTATAGTAAATAGATATATAGTTTGATAAACGGCGTAGTCAGGGCCAGCTGTACATACGCTCGTGTATGATGCGACCCCCTTAAAATTAGCTTCAAAATTCGGTCTTCAAATGTCGCTTGATACGGTGGTAAAAAGACTGATGAATTTCTTGAATGCCAAACAGACCATATTAACATGTACAATATTAATAATTTGCTTCATTATATAGGATATTGTGAATGTGCATATAGTATAGTGGTTAGCTGCGTTGAATGTGGAATTGGATTGCCGAGTTCAAATTCCAACCGAGGCCGTTGCATTCACTTTCGCACGATTACCCTTGAAAAGATACGAATCTATGTCCCTCCCAACTGTTCTAGCTAGCTTTGATTGGCACCCAGTCTTGCAGAAGGACGTGGGGCTACCAATTGCAACCTGTAAAAGCCTGATTGGTATAGAAACCCCACAACAACAGGACTTATTAGCGGTGTCTACATACATAGAGAATATTGTTTTGTATCAAATACATGTTCCTTTGTTCATGTCTTTCTTTTGCCTATAAACAAACATTTATACTGCATTTTGTTCGCTTGCATAATAAAACCTGACACTCTCGAAGTTATTATCAATATTTTTAATTAGAAATAGACTATTACAAGCTGAAACTTAAAAGATATTTTGTTCATATGAATATAAATATATCCTGAAAGTTTGACCAACGTTGCCGGTGCTATAATGGATAGCGAGTCGGAATGAGAAATCAGAGAGCAGAGTTCGAATTCCAGTTCGGTTCGTTATATTCACTTACGCACAAATGCCTTTGGGAATTGTATGAATCTGTCTCTTCCTTCCAGCTATGGGTTAAATAGTAGAATTTGTATCTGGAAAAGCATTTTATTATCAAAAAATTGTTGATACAATATTCACTCTCAAAAAAATAATTGTTTCAATCTGAAAAAAGTGTGGCCTTTAAATAATCTACAAAGGGTTGATAAGCCGTAAAAAACAGTCAATCATTTTACCAACGTTGATTACTACCAATCATTAATAATAATGTGAAAACATTTGCTGGCATAATAACATCTGGTATTGCTTATATATATATATTGTTTGCGATGATGGATGTCTCGCCATTTAAATCATTAACCTTTGCATTAGTTTTGTGTGAATAATTCATGTATTTGTAAATTGATTGCACGTTTATTGTAATTTAAATAACTGATCCAAGTGCGACTTTTAGATAATAAGTGCGACATTACTGTAATTATTGAACAATATAGTTCATGCCACTTTGACAGAAAAATTTACCAGTAAAACATTCGTTCATCACCATATTTGGTATAAACGCAAACACTTTAAAAATTTAAAATCAAACTCAGCGTTGCTTTGGCGTTCCAAAACCAATAACTCTTTTCAATAGCATTTTCGGATACAACGACACATATATTTTCGTTGTCCTCTTATTACTAAGAGAAAAAAAACAAGAACAACATCTCTATTCTATACCTGAAGATGTCTGTAGGAACAGACGAAAGCTTGTAGTAAAAATAACAACTAATACGGCAGAAATTTATATAAACAAGGATCAATTCATTCATAACGGATCTGGAGGTTTTTGTATACTATTTGAATTGTTTGCGATGATGGATTTCTCACCATTTAAATCATTAACCTTTGCATTAGTTTTGTGTGAATAATTCATGTAGATAGATAGATAGATAGATAGATAGATAGATAGATAGATAGATAGATATGAAAAGACTAGAAGACATATGAACAGAATGGAATACATAGATACACATATAAAAATGTGTGTGCTTATATATGCATATATATTAATACACACACTCGATAAATCGACTCATTAACAAGCAGTGGAATAAACTCCTTAGGAATATCAACAGTTTTCCGCTGAAACTGCTGTGCGCATGCTCACTTCGGTCGGGTATTAATTCGTCAACAGAAGAACGCATGGTGATTGACTGTTTGGTCACGAACAGCAAAGAGCTTCTCTTGTCCGGGCTTGTTGATATTATTTATTATTCGCTGTAGATAATTGAATTATTTCTAAAGTTAGAACTTTGCACTTTCCTTCTGTCACTCACCGCTGATGGAGAAGAGCCGAACAAGTAAGGAAGAGCGTGGTATCAAAATGCGCCAGGGAAATTGTTGAAATTAACAGCAGACTGTAGCGAATGTGTTGAAATAACCAAACGCGGTAGTCACTATGGTTATCAATTGTAGTAGTAGTAGTAGAAGTAGTAGTAGTATATGCCCCCCCCCCAAGTATCGGAGGTTCTTCGATTTCTGAAATTCTCCTTGATGTGTGTAATTGAGCTAAAGAAAATCTCCAAACTTCGTTCGGGAAAATGTTGCATACTAGCAGTAGAGCCCGGCGTTGCCCAGGGATGTAACAGTAAGAGATAGATCAAGTATCGACCATCATAAAGACTGAAAAATAAAATTGACAAAGATTATTGTTTAAGGTTGACGGACATGCATGTCTTAATTAGTTATTTTTTTGTTTTTTTTTTACGAATTGGTCAAACCCAAAGTCAAACAAAAACATTGTTTTCAATCGTTATGAGTCTACCGATTGAATAGAATTTTATTATGAACAATTGTCTTGTAAATGGAATTTTTAAAGCATTCTGAATGTAAAAATAAAGAAAAAAGTGTGCAAGACAATAAGAAACACTACCTGCCAAAAGAAAGTGAAGTTTTGTTGAAATCGGTTGAAAAATGTAAGAAATCCGATCCCATATATAAACGAACACACACACACAAACAACCTGGGTTTTATAAGTATAACTCGATATGAGTTATCCCCCTTTCATACTCACAGCAATGCCTCTTAATCGTGTTTTCAAATTGATTTCGTGTAAAAACAATTGTGTTTTTCCAATTTTTGCCGCTGTCAGAACCACTGCAAGGTAATTTTACGTAGTTCTATGAAGTTTTGTTGAAATCGGTTGAAAAATGTAGGAAATCTGATCCAATATATAAACGAACAGACACACACACACACACAACCTGGGTTTTATAATAAGTATGATGTGTAAAATCTCCCAGCGTTATGTTTTTTGAAAACTAAAGACTAAATACAGAGTAGAAAACCGCTAATAGATAGATAGATAGATAGATAGATAGATAGATAGATAGATAGATAGATTGTAGGCAAAGAACTCAAAACTGGTGATTGGCAGTTTTGCATCTAATTATATATATGTATATAATGAACGGATACTCGTTTCCGAACACACTCGTCAACCAGACGCCCGCGCAAACAACAGAGTACACCTTTTATACTACAACGAAGTCCAACAGACCTTAGTTACAGTTTCTGGGAGAAAGCGCATAATCTGGCGTGATCAATTTAAAAATAAAAAGTCAATACGCTCATACTCTCGGTCACGATGACTTATGATATCATGTTAGCACGTATATATATATATATATATATATATATATATAATTTCTTACCCATATATATGTGTATGTGTGTGTGCAATGTATTAATTGCATTGTTTTACTTACATAAGAGATGAGCATTACATGTGTAATATCAAACTTTTTGTAAGATAGATTTAGTAGGTATGTAACAGTTGGCATACATGCGTACATACGACAATATGCATAGCTATTTGAGTATATGTCCATAGCACAAAGACATTCACATAGCTAGATTTGTGTTCACTTGCGTGTATGCTATTGTTGTCTTATTACAGTTCGCGAAAGACAACTAATTAATCTAAAAACCTACAAGCAACAATGTTCATAAATTTGAATACATAAAGAAATGCCTATAAAGGAATTAGCCGATCAATACATATATATATATATATATATATATATATATATATATATATATATATATATTCGCAACAAACAATATCAATATGTAATGATTAATCACTTCAAAGTTGGCCTTCAATCTTTTTATTACGTTTCTAACTTCCTTCCCACTTAAACACATACAAACCCTTTCACTGTTTTCCCTCTTTCTCTGTCTTTCTCTCCCACTATCAACATGTTCATAGAGTAACTCTCACTCTGTTTCTCTCTTCCTTTAACTCTCTTTCTTACTTACATGCTGTATATCGTTTTTTTTGTGGGGGGGGTTATTTCGTATTCTCTCAGCTACTTTCTCCATTAGCCTCTTCCTTATCAATTTGTTTTTCTCTCTACTTTTTAGGTACGGTTGAGCTGAATCGATTGAGCAATCTCTTAGTTCTTACATTACTCTCTCATTCTCTCTCTCTCTCTCTCTCTAGTCACTGTCTAATGTTTTCTGTCCACCTCATTGTCTCTGTCTGTCTCTATCTATCTATCTATCTATCTATATCTATCTATCTATATATATATATATATATATATATATATATATATATAAAGTCTTCTATCCACCTCTCTCTCCCCGCTTTTCTCTCTTTTTTCTTTGTTTCAGAGTTGTTTTCATTTATCCAAATATATATTATTCTCTCTCTCTCTCTCTCTCTCTCTTTCTCTCTCTCTCTCTCTCTCTCTCTCTCTCTAGTCACTGTCTAATGTTTTCTGTCCACCTCATTGTCTCTGTCTGTCTCTATCTATCTATCTATCTATATATATATATATATATATATATATATATATATATATATAAAAGTCTTCTATCCACCTCTCTCTCCCCTTTTCTCTTTTTTCTTTTTGTTTCAGAGTTGTTTTCATTTATCCAAATATATATTATTCTCTCTCTGTCTCTCTCTCTCTTTTCTCTCTCTCTTTCTCTCTCTCTCTCTCTGTCTCTCTCTGTCTCTCTCTCTCTCTTTTTCTCTCTCTCTAACCTCTTCTCCCATCTCTTTCTTTTTCTCCCTGTTCCCTTGTTCTATCTCTTTGAATCAGCTACACTCTTCTCTATTTTCTTTCGATTCATTTCCCCCTTTTCCTTATCTTTCTTTCTGGTCAAACCTGTCATTCACGGCTTCAAAGACTTTCAAAACACATATTTAATTATTTTTAATCGAAGATCTTCGAAATTCTTTGTAATCTTCAAACGAAATGAACGTGCTTACATCAAACAAAATCAGAGCAGTCATATCTGCTTGTCCAACACCTTCCTCTCTCACATATCTATAAATTTATGCATGCATAATGGCTGGCTATTCATTTTCCGAGAACACCGGTTAAACAATCCTTGTTACAGGCGCAAACTCAGGCACATTTATGTTTGTTCAAAACACAAAGAGCTCGCCTGTAGTTTCTACAGCAAATATGCTTAACAGACCTTACAGTTTCTGAGCCAGAGCGTATAATCTGGAATCAGTATGAACAATGCTCGTATAATCCCTCGGTCACGATGACTTATTACTTCATGCTACCACAACCATTGACGGCTTCTCAACGGTCCCGTCTATCCAATTTCACTCACAAGACTTGGGTCAACCTGCGATATGGTTTTCAGATCTTTTCCAAATATGCCGCCTTCTGAAGTCACTTACTCAGACCGAAGACATCAAGCAAACATCTTCCTGACAAATCGACCATGCTAAGATTCGATACAGGGTCTCATAATCGGGAAGCATACATTAAAAAAATGGCGGGTCACTCGTATACGATGGCCGTCTACTAGGGCGGATAGCCAATCCCTGTTCCAGACGCCTGCTTCAGCAGATTTGTGTTTTTCAACACGCACGGAGCCTACCTATGATCGATGCTTCAACTATAATGCAACATAGTTACAGTTTCTGGGAAAGAGTGCGTTATCTAGCGTAATCAACAATCTGAACAAGGCCAGCACCCTCGGCCACTATGACTTGTGACTGCGTGCTAACACAAATTTGCTTCCCCCAAAGAGTTCTACCCAATTTTATTCACAAGGATTGGGTCAGCCCGTAGTATGGTTTTTAGGGTACTTTGCCCCCAGACCGATAACATCAAAAAATCACTTTACTGACAAATCGAACATGGTGAGGTTCGAACCCAGGCCTCATGGTCAGAAAGCGAACTTTCTAACCCCGCACCAATACATACATACATCCATCCATACATACATATATACTTTAGCGTCTGCATTTGAGTGATAATTAACAATGCTAATTTACAATAAATCCGATTTATTTTGACATTTTTCGTGGTCTTGCATCAAATGACGAAATGCCTAGCAAATACTCCTTCATACAAATGGTTGTCAAACGTATAGTGTTTTAATCTCTATTGGTTGCTTCACTATTATTTCCTTATGCCAGTTTGATAAATATCTACATTGGTATAAGTTGCAAAGTGATGACTAAGTACTAAGCTTGTAGGTCATTGTTACTGTGTGTATTCGTATTTTTTTTTTTTTTTTTTTTGTGCCAGACAGTGGCTTCTGTTTAAGCAGAGCATAGCAACAATGGGAATTTTAGTCTAATTATAAATTGTATTTGATCCTATTAAGCGGCTATTTCTTGTAACCGAATACCGATTAACCAGATTTAACTGCATTTACGCATTTGCAATTTGTCCGATTTAAATCGAGCTTAGATACAAACTGAATTTTCATTCCTTTTTTTGCTTCTTCTTTCGTCAGAAATATTTTCGGAAATTGACATTTCTTTCCAAAAGCGAGGAACGTTTTTTGAGAACATTTTTTTTAAATTAGTTTTTTTTTTTTAATTTAATAAAGTGAGCAAATGTTCAAGATGGAAAGAAAATAATTTTGTCAAATAATAAAGACGACAATGAAAAAATAATTACGTTTAAAACATTAAATAAATATAAAGGTATCATTATTTCACGACTATCTTTATTTTAAACAGCAATTACTAATCTTTTCATATTTTTTTTCTTACAATATTAATATGATTTTCTATTCAGCTTTTTGTAGGAAACATACAAACATTAAAAAAATTGAATCATTATTATCTGGGCGAGAGCGTACGAACACCAAAAGTAATTATTATGATGCAAACTGAAATGGAAAATAATTTCTCTTTACAGTCAGAGATTTTGTAACATTATTGTCTTAGTAAAACCTCACTACGATGTGCCGTTTTTTGTTGTTATGATAACAAACACGCCCACAAACAGGAATCAGATCAAATAATATAGACATTGCATTAAATAAGTCTGACACAAGGCCACATGAGATGGGAAATAAACTGAAGAATCCAGTCGTTTGAGGCGAAACTAACAAAAAGCTGTCTCCAAGGGAGATTGGATGTCATAGAAGGTATCTTCGTGTGAATGGTAAATAATTTAAAATAATCACTTCCTGTGGTGGTTACCTAAAACACTTTTGGCTCTAGTTGCCCCCACTTGCAACCAAGTGGATCAATACAACTAACCAACTACTGAGTATCAAAGTACTTAAACACTGGCAATCTTCGGTTGATGATTATATCGATATATAGCCGAAAGGTGAAACTGTCGCCTATGCCAAGCCTTTCCACTTGTACTTAAATAATTAAGTTGATGTATGAGATAAATGGCTCTCTGTTTACTGCAAAATGATGTTCACTGGCCCAATTCTTTATCAGCGAAGCTAGAATTTGACGTACTACCTTTCACAATTTAATATCACTATATTACTCTGTTAGTAATTCAATATAAAATGTACGAAAACCATTGCATGACCAATTCTTGCACATATTGGCGACGAGTTCATTAAAAATCAATCTCTCTCTCTCTCTCTCTCTTCCTCTCTCCATCTCCCCCTCTCTCTATTTTCCTCTCTCGCTATCTCCCCCCCCTCTCTCTCTCTCTCTCTCTCTCTCTCTCTCTCTCTCTCTGCATGTGTGTATGTGTGGTGTCATTTCAGAATGTGGGCGGTCAAGGCTCTCCACAACTTTGTCTTTTGTTCTGCCATTCATTTATCCAACGTTGTCAAGTAGGTTACTCGCTGTTTTCCCTTGCTTTTCTTTCCTTCAATATGTCAAGTGAGTGTCAAATTCTCCAGACATTCTTTTCTCATTATGTGTTTCAAAAATATTTCTGATTGTTAGTTCCTTTGTAGTTACGATTTTCCTTAGAATAAAAACATTCGCCCATAGAACCAGATCTCTGTCCCTTCAAGTTTGTTTGTTTTTTCCGTGAAGAAATTATCCAGCATTCTCTACTAAATAGGAGATTAAACATTACATAATATTCCAGAACCTTTGTTTCTTTTTTCTAATTAAACCTTACTGAGTTTCGGAAAAGTTCGTCACTCCGATGCATCATCAACACAATGTTGTCTGTGTAGCCGTATGTTGTTAAGGTTCCTCTGGTCGGTAGTGAATTTTGGTAGGTCTTCTCGTCTTCTTAATTGTAAAGATTAAATAAATCCGTTCAGAAAATACATATTTGTCAGAATCATCTTTCTATTTTTGTGTAACTCGTTCTTTATCAACAAGCATGCTGTTTGTTCTCAGTACATCTTAAGGATTATTTGAATATCTTTTCCGTGTAAATCAAGCTTCCCTGACATTTCAAGTAGTTCTTCAGCGCAGAGTTTATCAAACATCGTCGTTGACATCTATGAAATACAGAATATTGCTGCATTTTTGTTGTTTGCTCTTATATAAATAGCTAATTGGAAAAAAAGGTCTTAAAATAATCCCAAAATTATGTTTTACTTATGTTCACCCCAAGGAGGCACGGTGGAGTAATGGATAGCGGATTGAGGAATCGGAGAGCCGAGTTCGAATTCCAATCGAATCCATTACCTTCACTTACGTGCTAATACCCTTAGGAAAGGTATGAATCCTCTTCTTCCCCAAAGGTAAATAGCTATGGGTAAATAGCAGGAGAGACCGGGGTGGAAACTGGTCTACCGCCTCATATCCTCTCTTTCTCTCTCGTTCTCTCTCTTGCTCACTCCCGCCTTTTTTCTGAAACACTTTTCAAATTATAAAGGAGAAACACTAGCATTTGGAACCTTCTTTGATCCAGTTTGTCTCAAGTAAATTGCAGTTAATCCTTTGAGTCCTGACCACCGCTTTACCGGTGGTAGAGAAAAATGACGTAATGCCCAACCACCGACTGAACGGTGGTATAGAAAAAGGACGTAACGCCCAACCACCGATTGAACGGTGGTAGAGAAAAATGACTTAATGCCCAACCACCGATTGAACGGTGGTAGAGAAAAATGACGTAACGCCCAACCACCGATTGAACGGTGGTAGAGAAAAATGACTTAACGCCCAACCACCGATTGAACGGTGGTAGAGAAAAATGATGTAATGCCCAACCACCGATTGAACGGTGGTAGAGAAAAATGACGTAACGCCCAACCACCGATTGAACGGTGGTAGAGAAAAATGACGTAATGCCCAACCACCGATTGAACGGTGGTAGAGAAAAATAACGTAATGCCCAACCACCGATTGAACGGTGGTAGAGAAAAATGACTTAATGCCCAGTTACCGGTTGAATGGTGGGTAAACATTTGCAACTATTTTTATACCTACCGGGAAACATTACATCCCAATTATTTGCGAATTTTGACTCAGGAGCTCAGGCAGAAGGGTTTAAAATTATTCAGGAACGCAAGGCTCAAAGGGTTAACCAATCAATAATGAAATTATTGATGCCAAGATGCGTTTAAGTCTTACAAAGATATGAGCAAAATTGAGCGAGTTCAAATTGGCTTTCAAAATCATAACATTTATTAGGTTGGTGCAAAAATAATATCGTTTTATGATGTTCAACTTAACGTCAAAAAACGACATTATTTTTGCACCAACCTAATATAAGTTGATTTTATTTTAACGGTTAATGCAGTATTTAAGGTGGACAGATTTGATCGTTTATATCGCTAAGTTTACGATTATATTTTCTTTCATTTACTCACGATTTTCTCAGCTCATTATCTCCCTCTCTTCACCCTTCGTTTTTCACTCTCTCGTTCCACTTTTTCTATTCCAACCAAATAGAAAATTTAATCTTTTACTTTAAATTTTATCTTCGTAGTTCTGTTTAATATTATGCTGAGCAAACTTTTAATCTATTCAGGCTGAAAAAAAAGGAGATTAGTCTATTGTCCATAAATTACGAATGTTTAAACTTCTGGCGAAAAAAAAAAACAAGTCCATATATTCCGTTTTTAAAAGGTCGCAAATATGCAAAACGCCGATCATGCCAGATAAGATTTCTAAATGTCTTACTGGATTCAATCAAATTCCTTTTCATTTTGTCTAGGCAGTGATATTTCGGAATACGTAATAATCTAAACAAAAACAAAAATACAGGTCCGGAGCTAGGTTTCCCTCCAAATACATTTCAATACATATTCATTAATTATTTACTTTCATACTGAATAGCTTTTTATTTTTTAAAAATCTGAGAAAATGTTATTCTTTTTGTAATAACCACCAATATTTTCATGACTAAATTTTACTCGAAAAGATATCTAAGTCTCAAATTTTTATATTTCCATTAAGATTAATCGCCGACGCATCTCCGCTGAAAAAAAGTTTTACAATGATTCCAACACAACACAAACGGGATTTTCTTTAAAATTTGTTTTAAAGACAGTTTTCGGGAAAAATTTTCAGGTGTTGAAATCTAAACATTTTTATTTTATAAGCGATCATTTTCTCAGTTTTATCTTTCTAGAAATGTAAAAAATAGGGACTATAAATTTAATTTTAGTTACTAGCCGTGGACCTCTGGTTAGTATTACTAATAGTAAAAAAATCAGAGATCCTGCTTAGTGCATGATCTCGGAATAAAAAATGATTTTACTTAGAGATATTACCTTTTTAACTGATTTCAAAGAACTGCTCAGAAAGAAAATTATAATTTGAAAAAGTAAGCGCTACTGAAATTAGTACTTCTACCCACCACCCCAGTAGGCATGGAGCCCCCACGCGATTGAAATGTTTGGGGTAGTAAGAACCGGTCCTGTTGATTATTATACAGTGTAACCCGGATATAAGAGAAACCCGGATATAAGAGAAACCCGGATATAAGAGAGATTTTCTCTGGTCCCAAATTAGAGCCTGTGTTAATGTATATAAATTAGACCAAACCCGGATATAAGAGACTTCTTCTCCGGTCCCGACAACCCTCTTATATCCCGGTTACACTGTAGTTGATGATTGACAATATAACTTAGGTAGAAAAAAGTAAAAAGCACAAAAAGCAAATAAAAAATTAAAAAAACGCTGTTCAAACCAGCCATTTTGGGGCTCCAAACTTATCAGGGTTTCCTGCGTAGTACGCAACCGCACCGGCCATGCAGATACACAATGTATATTATGAGTTGATGACTGACAAGGTAAAGTCAGTTTACAAATAATTCTTAAAAAATGGCGGATGGCCATAAAAATAATGCTAAAAAAAAAAATGTGGGAAAACGCGGTCGGGGATTTCGGGGGTAATACGCGCCGGCCCTGATTGAATAAGCAAAATTTTTTAAGCATAACCAACTAACAAGAATAAAAGCAGAATAGATATACATTTTCGCATGACCTTTCCTTTCTTTTTTTTTTTTTTTAAAGAAAAAGATTTATAGAATATTCCTAGTTACACGTGCGAGTTTGAGTGTGTGTTTCAATTTGTTGTCTGCTAATGTTTTAATTCTAATAAGAGATAATCACCAGTCCATTTCTGTAGAGAATAGATAAGATTAATTGGCCATAAGTGTAATGAAGCTATTAAAGATTATTATTCATCGATTGTTTATTTATTGATTTATTGATTTTTTTTCCTCTTATCATTATTAAAAAAATGTCCTACTCGCATTGCAGTGACAATAATCTTCACATTCTTCGCCATTTTTAGAATTGCTATTACTAAATAATACCAATGAAAATTCAATTAATAATAAGTAGTAGTAGTTTTTGTAGTAGTAGTTGTTGTAGTAGGAGTAGTAGTAGTAGTATTAGCTTTGTCACTGGCATTATTGTAATAACGTCTGCATTTTCTTCTATATTATTTTTCTTTTCTTTTCTTTTCCAGGGGGAGCTCTTTGGACAATTACGACATAAATCCCAGGCAGACCCATGTTGGATTTGACGAACAGGAACTGTCTGTGGACATGTACAACGACGATGTGGATTATATGACGAAAACGCCCGTATCAGTGCTTAGCTCTTCTGACGTATTATTGGACAGTGCCCTCAGGGAGCACGAAGCATCGAAAAACACAAGAAACAAGCATTCAACATTCTACGGAGAGCTACCAGCGTATCCTTACGTCAATGGAACTGCCATTCTTTCTCCACAAAACCTGGAACATATGAATACAACGGACATATGAAGAATTTATAGGTATTTTAGTTATTTTACATAAGTTACAAAGATAAGAAAGAAGTTAAGATGACGGTAATGATGTCAGTGATATTATTATGATGATGATGTTGATGATGATAAGGACTACAATGAAGAACAACAAGAAGGGATTTTTCAATGGAAAAAATGTTATGCAATTGATGACGGTAATGATGATGATGGTGGTGGTGGTGATGATGATGTTGATAATGAGGAGGGTGGGTTGAAGGTGATGCGAATGCAATTTAGAATTTTAAATTAAAAGAAAAGAAAGTAAAAATAAATAAAACAATGACGAAAAATATATTTAAAAAAATAAGCACATTCAACAAAAATATGGAAAACAGTTTTTAAATGGATAATATTAAGCAGAGAGGAAAAAAAAGAAAAACGTTTAAAAAAAAAAAAAGAAAACTCCCAAAATTTTTATTTCTTGCAAAAGAAACAGAATGTTTCTGTTCCATACATTTTTTCAAACAGAAAAAAACCCTAAATTATAAAAAGATTTTAAAAAAAAAAAGAAGAAAAATATTAAAAACTAAAAAAGAATTTAAAAAAAAATGTCTTTCAGAATTTTTTTTTCTCTATCAAAGAAAATTGAATTTCAGATGGCGCACTCTTCAAAGAATTATTTTAAATTGTTTTACCTTCATATGATGGTGGGATGAGTAGGCAATTGATATATTTGAAACGAAAAATAATATAAATAATCAACTCGGACAAAATATCATGGCCGACCCGACAATTCACACCTCACCGTTCGAAGATTTACATTCTACAGGAATAGAAAAGAGACAAAAGAAAACGAACAAACGCACATAAATATTCACTCGTCTCTACATACCTTTTTCTTCTTTCTCGCTCTCTCTTTATCAATCTATCTTTCTATCACTTTTTCACTCTCCCAATCATTACGCTCTCATAAACAAGACAAAATGCACACATAAACACCACTACATTTACAAAATTAGCACGTACACATTTTCTTTGAATACGCATACAAATATATTCATTGCATATCTTTCCTTCCTTCTTATTTCTCTTCTTTTTCACAAAATCAACACGCAAACACTTGCTCACCAAAATGTACGATATTTCTGAAGAAATGACACCCGTGTCTTCGAACAACCAGAAGCAGCCATTTTTGATCGACGGCCAAACGGTGTGATGAAGTATCTATTCCACTTTAGATTTTATTTTGCTTGACTAATGGACACAGAAACAAAGAAAGGAAAGAAATGACAGTTAATCCGGAATTAAAAGATTAATCCAAAAGAAAGAAAGAAAGAAAGAAAGAAAGAAAGAAAGAAAAACTAGGAACCCATTTAATCTCCTTTTTTAACTCATTAGGGTTTTTCACAGATATAAAACATCAGTTTATTTCTTAACAGTTTACTCGTAAAACCATTAATTTCATTAATACTGGTTTTGTTATATTTTTATTATTACTGAGACTACAAATATCAAAAGAATGTTGAAAATAGCAGAGAATAATCGGGCTAAATTCTCTGTATGTATATATATATAATATATATATATATGTATGTATTTATGTATATATATTTGTTTAGTTTTTTCTTCTTTCTTTCTTTCTTTCGGAACAGTTTAGTTAAATATTTTATTTCTTTATTGTTATTTTTCTTTTCTTTCTTTTCAATTCATTCGCTCTTATAAGTAAAATATTACTTTTTTGTTATAAGAAACTGATACGTAGGTAAATAATTTTAATAAGTATTTTGATGCGTATGATAATATCGATGATAAGAAAGGACACTTTCTGGACAATTATTATTATAATATATATATATATATATATATATATATATATATATATATATATATATCCTTTACAATATGTGCTTGAATGTTTTTGTTGCTTTCTCTAAACCTAGTTTTACACCTGTTTTTTTTTTTTTTTTTTTTGTTTTTTTCGGGGCTTTTATCTATTATTTCTATATTTGTCAATAAGTTGCTTTAAAAAATTGTTCATCCTCTTTCGCTTTTTTGTTTTGTTTTAATTGCTTTTTGGCGTTTACATTGATGTTTCTTTCTTTTGTTTTCTCTTCGATATTATTAATTAGCAACAATTTCATAATTTTCAGGCAATAAAAGATTATAACTGTAATAAATTCTTTCGAAACAATGCCTCATAATGAAAGAAAGATATTTTTATTTGTCAAAAACAAGAAAAGAAAGCAAAAATTCAAGATAAAATTTCTGCTTAAAATGAATTATTACTATGAAGATAATAAGAACATCCGCCATTTGTAAAAGTGAATATAATCGCATCAGTGTCGACCGTTAATTAATGATAATAAGAGATAATTATAATAATCCTTTGAATGATAATCATTATAATAATTGTAATGTAATTAGCAATAAACGATCGCTTGATCATTGTGTGAATAATTAGATCGTGTGTTCACCAATAAGAAAAATATAATTATTCCAATACTGCTGTTCATGACTATAATAAAAGGAATTAATTAAATACACAAGTATTTTAATTCTCAGACAATGCTTGACTAAAGACTCCAAAAATGATAAGTATGTATGAAGAAAAACCTACTGATATTTATTGAAATTAAAATCGAAATGCTATTTAGGATGAAAAGTCTCTGGAAACCTCACAAAAATCTCTTGATGAATGAGAATTCTTGCTGTCACTGACGATTGTCAACTTAAAATCATTGTCAACGAATGCGGCCAACGGAAAACAACAACAACAACAATAATAATAATAATACCACTAACTCTCTAATAAGATACGAACAAACCCTTTGTCATGTAAGTAAGAAACTTCTATTACAAGGCGTTATTCAATTCAATTCATGGAGAATAGATAGATATATTTATAAAAGCCTTGTTGACTTAGCCGATATATCCTGCAAAGGTTATTTCAATGAATGCTTATGTTAAGGGACTATGTCTCAATTTTTATATTGCGCCAAGGATCCAGACTTTGTTCTGGTTTTTAAAGCTTACAAGCAAATTCTCAGAAGATTTTTTTTCATTATTGACAATTAAGACTTTATATTAATAGAAGCTGTTTACCTTGTGAACTGCTTGCACCCAAAAAGTGAATGGTTTAGTTGAGAGGACAGAAAATCGAAAAGATCCAATTATGCAAGACGAAGCAAAATATTTTGGATTAGACGCATCCAAATAAAACTTTAATATTTGTATGTTATACTAACATTTGTGTTTGTTTTTTTAAATTAGGAGAGAAAGAACGAGGAACTGTATTTTGTTGTTTTTTTTTTTTTAGATTTTTTAAAGATCAAATCAAATAAATAAAAAATAATATCTGATCAAATGAACTGAAACAGTGGTTACCGAAGAGAAAGAATTTTCAATAAAATATTTCTTAACATTGTGGAAGTATTATTGATTATTGTTATTCAAGTTCTTTTTATCCTCGTTGCTTGGTGAGTGAGGCTGATTGATAACATGAAAAAATTATGTATTTGTTTACATCGAGAGAGCACCCACCAGATGGTAAGAAATGGTATACTTTCGTTAACAGTGCTAATTTAACGAACATGTTCTAAAAACAATAATAAAAATTAACAGTCTAACTTCAGATACTAAATTACCATAGGATTCGTCGTGCAACTCTGATAAAAGAATAATAATTATCAACTAGAGTCTTTTCATCTTTCTGTGAGCCGAGAAGAAAGGTAGGATAATTGTCATCGGCGTTGATGATGGAATCGGCAGGGTTAATTCAAATTCCGGTAGAAGCAGTTTCGTTGATTTCACATCAATGCACTTGAGAAAAGCATGAACACGTCTCTTGACCACTATTTTCCCCAGCTATGTAATAGTGATTTTCCAAGTGTAGCTTGGATGTGGCACAATGCCGAAAGTAAGGCACCCAGTGAGGATCAATCTCACTACTCAGCCGTAATTGTTCTAGCGAGACAAGCTTGAACTTGTGTTTCTAGTCTTGGTTTGGCACGACCAGTCAATACAAACGACAACTCTGAATTACAAACGGTAGAGAAGGTAGCGGAAAACCTCTTCACAAGAACATCATGGCAATTATTAAGGAAAAGTAAGCTGTAAAGATTCATGCTCACCTACGTCCTTCGGCAATTATTAAGGAAAAGGAAGCTGTGAAGATTCATGATCGCCTACGTTCTGAAGAGACATTCATTAAAAAATAGGCACATATATACAAAAACAAACAGATTCGGAAAAAAAATAAATGAAAAAAATTCACCCGTTCCAACTGCATTAATCGGCTCCTGTTTGGCTTCTGACCGAACTTAGGATGTTGAGAAAGTTTTTACTTATTTTGGTTGTTTTATTTTATTTTTTAAACAAGGAAATAAAATATGCGTTTCTTTATAAGCAAATGCTTATAAATAGTAAAAAGAAAGGTGTCATTAAACAAAAAAAGCAAAAAGTGGGCCCAGCCAATCAGTGCTTTATTGGTTAACGAAGGTTTAATGTTGATCTGTTATTTATCTTTGCAGTTTATTTTCAAAACTCCGATTACATTTAAATATGTAAAGAATTGCAATGGAGCAAAGCGATTAAGCTGAACTTTGGCAGGTTAAAACATTGACACACTCGTTTTTATTATGGGTCTTATCGAGTTTTATTATTGGTTTTAACGAGTTCCTTATTTCTGTCTTCACATCAAAAAGACAATAATCAAAGCAAGCCATTAAGTTGATTCTGTTGGTTTTTCGCCACCGACAATCACTTTCTTCCATACATTTAATGCATTTCTGTAGTAAAATTATCAACAATACATTTCTATTATTTATATAATAATATTATTCTGTTAAAATCATTTGTTTTTGTGCCCATTCCCCTAGTGTCAGGTTCAAATAACAACCTATTTTTTGTTGCGGCCATTTTTTTAAATTTTGTTTTCCTGATTCATTTGAATACTTAAAATTTTCCACCATATTTCAGTGAAATTTTCACTGTTCAATATTGTATTTTATAATTATAATAATATATATATATATATAT